ATTTTTGAATTTTCCTTCCCGGGGCGGGACCCCGGGGAAGATGAGGTATGTTTTCGGAACACACGGGGTTGAAAGGAGAAAAGCCTTAGGAAGAACCGATGTTGATCCGGTTCGTTAATGAGGGCGGAGTAATTCGCATGGCTAGGTGCGGAGGGAAGAAGTCATCTATTGCTTCGGCGTGTTATGGTTGGGGGGGTGGGTGGGGGGGAGGAGAGGTTGAAGGTTGAGAGGAGGAGTTGAGTAAGGGTTATGGAGGAGCCGAAGCCTGGGGGGGCGGTGGTCTCACGGGCGGAGAGGATGTGGAGGAGGGGGGCAGGGGCCGGGTTGTGGTGTGACTGGGAGGGGGGAGGCTGATGGGATGGTGAGGGGGAGGAGGAGGAGGAGGAGGAGGTGGTGGTGGTGGTGGTGGAGGTGAAGAGGTAGGCATGGGAGCTTCATGTTGTTGTGTCTGCTGAGGTGATGGTCAACTTCAAGTAGGGTGTGTTTGGTCTGGTGAAACTAATGAGGCGAGTATCGGTATCATTGGGAAAGATATGTACGGAAGGTAAAGGCAGTGCCTCGAGTTAAGGAGAAGAAGAGCAGGAAAGGACGGATAGGAGGCAGCTTTGACTCTGCTCTGGGACCCTTGGGTGTTTAACCTCCTGACAGCCCACACAGACACCTACCTGCCCTTCCGTCTAATGTTTGATACTAACTGTGACAGCGGCACGGGATGTGCCATCCGCACGAGAAAGTCCTACCTTCTTGCCGTCCGCTCACACCTCAACGCAACGACATCTCGGTGCTGCTGTGCTTTCGGTCGAATGGAGAATGCTCTTTTGTCATCGTGAACTCCCTGATCGCCATACACTGCATGATGATCCCAGGGTTCGGGAGTGGTTGTTGGCAAGGCGGTGTGTTTAGCCGCATTTGCAGTCACAAAGCTTTGATGTGTTCTGGGAGGTTGTCACAGTGGTATAGACTGCCAGAGGAGCTGTGATAGATGAGTCTGTGGGTAAGGTTAGAGTCAGCATGTAACATCGGGCCATTGAACATGAAGATACCATAACGCACGCTGCTTCGAGATCAGAATGAACAGTATCACCCTAGTATCACACCCCGTAAGCTTACAATAAACTAAAAAACCCTCAAGACCCCTGACCTTCACTCTTTTGCATTTCCCGTCCCGTTTGGACCTCCAAAACACCAACCGCAAATCACAAAATAATTCCCCGAGAAGCACTTTTTGCAGTGGTCCCCAACGTTTGAGCTTCCCATTTATCGCTAGGCACTTCCTCCCAAAAGCTTGTTCATTCGGAACCGGAAAGGAAGCCGGGTATTATGCGGGGTGTGCATCGTCAACTGTGTCGAGTTTGTAGATCATCTTCAATGTAACCTCGCAACTTTCCTTTTTTGGGCTGACGATGAGAAACGCTTTGATGGCGATGTTGGTTTAAGGTGATTACATTACTCAGCGGGAAAGGGGTCTTGGAGGGAGACTTTTATGGGATCGTGTTGGACAAGCTACTATGTCGCGAGAGAGTAGAAGTGTTGATGTAATTAGCTCTTGCTTTGCCTGAGTACTTCAAGTTGAATCTCGATGAACAAACTACAAAGGATAACTTTAGAGCAGGCTCGGCGGTGAGTTTGGAATTTGATGTTTTCGAGCCTATCATGTTGGAAGGCGTGTTTGGTGGAGGCTGTGCCTTGACACCACCTTTCTTCTCGAGTCCTTCATCAGCATCAGCCACCTGCCCGAGTCTGTTTTCGAAACGCCACATTGGGAGAGATACATCCCTCACTTTGGAAGTTAGGGTAATGGTTTGTTCGCTCTGGGGGCAGCTACATGCAGGTATACGAAGCGTCTTAGCGAAATGGTTTATGCACTTGAGTGATGTTCCGTACTTTTCATCGAGATTTGTTGTGATATTGAGCGGGGAACTTCATGGGATCTTGACTGTTGCTGCTGGTATATTCGACATGTACCTGATGTAGGAAGGCTACCTTGGGTATCTTAGGTATGTGGTGGCAGTGACGGCACTGAATCACCACAAGCACGACGGTTGCGGGTCAAGCAGCAAGCTCAACTCACTCAAAGCCTTCCATAATAACAATGATTTTCCATGCCGCAACCTGGAAGTTGATCAACACTTTGCCATCATGTGACACCGTCATTCCACCCAGAACAACAGAAGCCAGAACAACAGAAGGGAGGAGCAACCCCTACCAGAGTATATACACCACTCTCCCCACCCACCTTCCAACAGCAGCTCCAGTATCCTTACCAGGGCGTCACACTTGTGGTCAGGACAAATGGTAAGGATGTCGGAGCTGCTGTTTAAATACCTCCCGCCCCCCAACAAAACGCTTGTACCCGAAAGGGCCCGAATACGAACCCCCCCCCCCCCCAACCCCTAAAAAAAAAACCTTTCTCTCTTTTCTTTT